ATTTGGGTTTTTGTGCTTAACATGATGCCTTAGAGCCTCACTTGGAAGCATGTGAAGGGATGGTCATATCAGTGAGGGGGCAGAAGACTAGATTTAGATGCTCAGAATATTTACTCTAGTTTTCTTTTCTTTTTTTTTTTTTTCCTTTCTTTCTTTTCGGTACCGGGGATTGAACTCAGGACCCTGCACTTGCCAGGCAAGCACTTATTCTACTGAGCTATCTCCACAGCCCCCTTCAGTTTTCTGTCCTTAGGAAGATGAAAGTTTTATGTCACTGATACTCAATTTATACATGTTAACATCATAGTATCTACCTTGCTGTCATTTTCTTTAAAAATTCCTTCAGGTAAATTAAAAACAGTAGATGCAAAAATTAGAGATATTATATCAGCGTCAAATTAGGTACAGCAAGCTTGGGGTGGTGGTGCAGGCCTGTGATCCCAGCCCGGGGAATGCAGGGGCTAAAGATCACACGTACAGGCCCAACATGGGCAGTTTAACAACGCAGTGAGACTCTGTCACAAAAGTTAACAGTAGAAAATGGCTGGGAACATGGCTTAGTATGGAGGTCTTGAGTTCATCCCTATTATTCAGGAAAAAAGTTAAATATAGCAAAATACGATTTGTTTTGCTAAAAGATTGGGATCTTTGTACTTTAAAGACCTTTCATTAATAAACCTGAATTTTGATAAGGAATGACTCAGAAATAGAAGTTTCTTGAAAGTCTTTTTTTTTTTTTTAAAGCCCCCTTTAATGAAATAGCAGTACTGACAGATAAATTACATATCAGAAAAGGTTTCAGCCTGGTGGAGTGGCACCCACCTGTAATCCCAGCACTGAGGAGGCTGAGTGAGTTTGAGGCCAGCCTGGGCTACATACATGAGTTCAAGGCCAGCTTCAATTGCATAGTGAGACCATGTCTCAAAATAAAAAATAAAAAACTTAAAATAAAATAAAAAAATAAAAAGATTTCAGACATCATAGAAAGCCAAAAGAGCAGTCATCATTAGAAAATTCTTGGTTGATAGACATTTTGGAATACAGTCCTCAGTGAAGCTGGTAGTAAATACTGACTTTGGTTAAATACTGACTGGTAAACTACTTAATAGTTTAATTTTAGGGTTTTTCTATTGAGTATATGCTGGTGTTAACTATTTGTAAATCTGTTTTTAGCAGAGTACATTGTGTACAGCAACTGTTTTGGACAGACACTGTATAACTTGTGAATAGTGTGCCCTCCTGTGGATACAGGGAATAAAATTTCAGCTATAAACCACCATAGCTTTGTGTAAGTTTGCACTGCTGAGCTGTTCAATAATAGCACTCATACATGAAGTTTCTTCCTTCCTTTCCCCTCATTCCTCTTTTGTGCTGTTGGGGATTGAACCAGGGCAGGCACATCCTCTAGTGCTGTACCACTGAACTACATTTCAGTCCTGAATTTGTTTCCATTAAGCATAAAAGCCATTGTATGACTTTAAAATACTGAGAATTGGAGAGAAAAGCATCTTGTCTTACTTGCAGAAGATGCAAAAAGAGATGTAGTTTGCAGGACAATATCAAGGAGGAAAGATGTCAGTATGAGCAGAGGTAAGTAATGGTAGTGTTTGAGGAGCTTTATGACTAAAGTTGAAGTGAGATACTTGACTCTTCTACAGGTCCACCCTGCCTTCCTTTGCAGATGCTCCCGAATGGGATTCTGGCTCATTTATGTATCTGTTCGTCCTCGAGCAAGGAAGGGGACGGGAAAAAAATGTGTGCAGCACTGTTTGAAACTTCTATCTTAACATTTAGTGAGAATTTCAATTCAGTTTGAAATAAGTGTTCAGTCGTTTATACTACTGCCCCTAAGTGGGCATACCTTTATCATTTATGAAGATTTTATATGAAGGAATAATTTTTAAATGACTTTCTCCTGTAAATTACATTTATTTTTTTTCTGTTACTTTGTATGGGAAGCTCTTTTAATGTTTGTTGTTTTTTGAGTTAAAAGATAAAATTTTGTATTTAATGATGGCACTGCCTTATAGCTTTATATCCTTATATTCCTACTACCCTGTTATCAATAGGAGGATTCCTTTGTTAATTGTGTTATCAGCTCTTGACAGATGATTCACAGATCTTCACTAATCCATTAGAAAGGGAGTGTTGCAGCTGAGAAAAATGCTGCTCACATGAATGGCTCTCTTCCTGTGATCAGAGTTTCATATTGACATGAAAGTTTGTTTCAGTTCAGATTTAAAATGATTTCAAAACTCTGATCCAGTTTAATAAAGACTTTGACATTAACAAACAGTGCTATATTTGTTCAAACTTAAAGCCACTTTCTGCTTTGTGAATACCAATTGTGAATTCACCAAATGTGAATAACAGGAATAACCAGTAATCTATTATTTAAGTATTTATTTGCTTTATTTATTAAGGAATACAAAATAGTGATAGAAAAAAACAGTATTAGAAACGATACAAAATTTCACTAAAGTAATAGGAATTCAACAGTGGTTGCTGTATTGTATATTATCTTCAAATTAGTTATTCAGGTCACCAGATACAAACATGCAAGATTGGTTTAAGAAAAACAAAACAATAACAAAAAAGTTGCAAGAAATTCAAAAGAAAAGAAAAAAATGTGTTAACTGCTCCTTTCAAAAGACCAACAGAAATTGGCAGTATAATTATCCAAACTATTCTGCATATGTGCTTAAATATATCTTTTTCCCTTCTTTTATTTGTCCTTTTCCTTATCCCAGTTCTTCTTTCCCATTGAACATTTATTTGCTTTTTCAGACAAGATCTTGCTCTATAATTTAGGCTGATCTTAAACTCACAGTGTAGTGCAGGCTAGCCTCTAACTCACAGTGATCCTCTGCCTCAGCCTCCCAAGTGCTACGATTATGGATCTGTACCACCATGCCTGGCTATTTTTATTTCTAATATGAGCTTGCAAAATGTATTTGACTTGTGAGTTGGGTATGGTAGACTATGTCTGTAATCTTTACTGCTCTAGGGAGGCTCAGGCAGGAGGATTGCAAGTTCATAGCCTACCCAGGTAACTTAGGTCTTATTTCAAAATAAAACACAAAGGTAGCAGAGGGTCTTAAGTTCACAACTAATAGAAGGGGAGGGTGGTGAAAGGCTTTCTCTCAGTGAAGGTATGCAAGGTACCCCTCAGTTCAAAGCTTATTGAAAACTTCAGTATGCAAAGTAGATCAGGGTAGTTGAAGCGAGAAATGAGAGCAGGCCCTGCCAGCTGGCACATCCTACCTGCAGTTCATTGCAGCCGCCCCCGAAGAAGCTGCCTGAGTAGTTAGTGCAGCAGGATGTTTGCAGGGGCTTCTTCCAGGAAGTAGCAGTTATTCCTGCCAGGGCTGATTCAGCAGAGTCACATCCAAAAGCTGAGCTGAAGCATGCCAGAGCGTGGCCTTTCATACAATTTTTGTGTCCTGTCTCCCTTATGTGGTACCACACTAACAAACTACATCCTGACTGGGTACAGTCTTCATTACCAGTCTGTGCTAGAACTAGATATGTGTAATGAGCTAATTCTGCCATCTTGTCCTCTTTTGTTCTGGTGGAAGGACCCCCACCACACTCCTTTGGAAGGGGCCCGCCATAATAGTTTAGAAACCACTGATAGATTTATCCTATAACAAATGACTTCAAATGCCATGTCTATAATATACTACATTAAAACTTTGCCTATTCAATTTATTTTTTTTTATAATTTTATTTTATTTTATTTTATTTTATTTTTTTTAAATATTTATTTATTTTTATTTATTACATTTATTTATTGTGTGTGTGTGTGGCCAGCTCAGCCCACCAGGGGGCGGGTCTGGCTGGCATGTGGTGCTGGGGATCGAACCGCGGTCCCTGTGCTTTGCCAAGCTTGTTTCAAGTAGGTGCTTTAGACCACTGAGCCATCTCTCCAGCCCCTGCCTATTCAATTTATTAGCTACTCAATTTATATTTTCTTTTGTAGCAAGCATAGAGGCTTAGAGATTTATAATAAGAAACTGAAATGTCTAAATAAAATAAAAATATTAAAAATATAAAAAAGGACTCAGGATGTAGCTCAGTTCTAGGGTTTTTTTTTTTTTTTTTTTTTTTGCGGAACTGGGGATTGAACTCAGGCCCTTGTGCTTGCCAGGCAAGTGCTTATTCTATTGAGCCATCTCCCGGCCCAGTTCTAGGGTATTTTAGCATGGGCAAAGCCCTGGGTTCAATCCCAGTACTACATATTTCTGTCTTGAATATATTTATTTGACTGCATTATCAGATAGAATTAAAAGGATGCAAGGGGGCTTTTTTCATAATGATATGATTACATTAACCTTTATATTATAAGTTTTTTAAATAAGAAATTAAGGCCACTGAATGAACTCATAAGTTTTACCTGCGTTTGAATGAATGGTTATGTAGGGGGCCAGCCCCTTAGCTCAGTTCTTTAAGTGGCTGCCTTAACAAAGCAGTCAGGCTCAGGTTGCTGTGGTTCAATCCCCACAACTCAAGCCAGCCAAACCTGCCCTGAAGGCATTCGGAGCAAAAAAAAAAAAAATCTGACTGAATGATTATGTAGTGTCATGCTTAAGGGCACAGACTCTGTCTGGAGTATACTGCCTGGGCTTGAATCCCAGTTGTGTCACTTACCAGGTATACGACATTGACAAGATTTCTAGCTTCTCTGTGCTTATTTCTTCATTTGCAACACAGTAGTATTACTCATAAGAGTATTTTGAGAATGAAAATGAATTAATACAAATGTCACAATACTGCCTGACACAAGCACTAAGCCCTGTGTATTAACTAGTGCCAATCCTATGTTTGTACATGATTTAATGTTGAAATTTATTGTGAAGGACATAATACTATTTGCTTTGTAAATAAAAATCATTTCTGCATTGCCTGTGTATTTAAAAAATAAGTACTCAGCTTACATGCCATTTTATAAAGTTTCTTATGAAAACTTGTATCACAATAATTGTTTTCCTTTTTTTTAGGCACGGAATGTTAACACTGGTGAATTAGCAGCAATCAAAGTAATAAAATTGGAACCAGGTAAGTTAATTGGAATTTGATGTGTCTGATTGCTAGAAAGTTATTAGATATCTTAAGGTTTATTTTAACGATGTTTGGTCAACATTATCTTAGTGTCCCCACATCTTGTAGGAAATCGAACTGGTTATCTACCCTTTCCTCCATCTCCGTAAGAGCAGCATAACACTTTGTGCAGTTCTTTCCCAAAAATAACTGATAAGTGAGAGAAAGAGGGGAGCTCCTGAAGAGACTCAGTGCCTTGTGAACTCATTAGAACTAACTTGTGACAGCTGATAGTAGTACATTTCCAGGTTAACGTTGTCCTGTGCTGAGGGGCAGATAATGCATTGGGAAGAGCTGAACGGAGATTGGAGTTTAGTCTGTTCCCTGTTGGTAAACCTTTTAGAGGTTTCAGCAATAACAGCCTGCTGTGTTACTGGTGCCGTAGGCTCACCACCACTGCCTAGTTCTTGGTCTCCCACCCTTCTGCTCCCTGAGTTTGGGTGTACAGTCAGGGATGAGACTCAGTTTTCCCAGTAGACCTACTTTTCACACCTATAAGTCCTTAATATCGCTAATTACCTTATGACTAAAGCAGCTTATTATCACATCCTTAAGACTACTTCATATGCTCTCTCTGTGTTAACTTTATTCCTTTCAATTCCCTTACCTTCCACAAAACCCGCATCTTTCTGAGCTGTTTACTCTTGCTTATTTTCTCTGAGACCCTTTTTACTCTTAATCCTGTGTACTGTAAGCAAGTAACTGTTCTAATGTCTGGTCTGAGTTCCACAGCAGTTAGAAGACTTTTAATTTTAGCTTCAGTATGAACAAAATCCATTCAGAGATTTTTCAAGGGTGAGCAAACGCTTTCTGTAAAAGGCCAGATACTACTTTAGTATGCCAGCCATACATACATATATAGTTCTTTGCTTCGGACTCTCTGTCCCCTTCCCAAAATGTAAAAAAGCAGTCTTAACTTAAAAACCACTCTTGGAAAACAAGCCACCTATTGTTGTAGTTTGCCTACCCTTGATTTAGTTTGTCAGTAAGTTTTTAGAACTACCTTTAAGATGAAATTTTAAGAATGTTGATTATGATCAAACCACACTGAAATATCAGTAAAAACCACTATATATATGTAAGGATTTTGTACAGTCTAATTATATTTTGATATCACAAGACAAGTTTTCTTTGTTTTCCCCTAATCTACTTTTCAAGTTTTAGAAATTTAAGAAGGATATTTGAAGTTGATGAAATCTGAGGTAAGAGAAATTAATGATTTGGCATTTAAAGCATGGCCTTCATTTTTAATCAAGAAGTGCCTGTGTCATTCGATGAAATGGTTTTAGTCAGAAGTCATTTGTCATCCTCATTCCCTCAGATCAGCAGAACGTCTTGTCCTTCAGGCAGCCCTCAGTACGATGACTGCTCCAAAGGAAAGGCTCTGCTACAGTACTAAAATACCCAACTTGTCACTCTGGACTCGCCTTTCTATTTTTCCAGGTTTTAATCAAATTTATGCCTCTAGCACTGAGATTAGGGCCTGTCACATAGAACTCATTCAGTGTATTTTTTTTATTTGTTTGAATTATTATGCTATCAACCTTTAATATAGCCAAGTGTTCAATATTAATATATTGATCAATGTATTAAAAGTAGACTATACAACTAAATAAAAGGAATAGAAATCATTCATATTGTACCACCCAGAGATAATAGGTTATTACAATATATGTATACATTTACATTTAGTTAACATTGATTTTCTACTTAACATTTTTATAGAAGCCATGTGAACTTTTATATATTTTTTTTTGTCTTTATTGTTTGAATTGTAGGAGAAATCTTTACTTATTAGAGAATTTGGCCCAGTGGTTAAGAGCACAGACTCGTATGGCCTGTTTTGATTATAGTTTTGACTTGGCCATATACCATAAGCTTTCTAGATCTCTCATTTTTTTATCTCTGAAATGGGAACACTAATAATAGCTTCCTCTTTAGAGTGTAGTGATTAAATGCGCTAACATACAGTAAGTTCTTACCATAGGAAGTGACTGATACTACTATTAACACTGTTGCCATTGTCAAGCTGTGACCTACCGTGTTTCATCTATGTGAGCTACCTTCCCCCACTCACAGGCTATTTTTAATTAGATCCCAAACTTGTTATCATTTTAGCCCTTAATACTTCAGTGTATATACCTAGATCATAAGAACTTATAATCACAGACAGTATTCTTCAAACACTGCTGAAGGGGAGTATAAGATGGTCTACTGCTTTGGAAAGTACTTCGGTACTTTCCTAAGTTTTTTTTTTTTTTTTTTTTTTTCCTGGAACTGGGGATTGAACTCAGGCCCTCTACTGAGCTATCTCCCCAACTCTCCTGAGATATTGAACACAAATTTTCCGCAGTGACTCAGCAGTTCTATTCTTGTGTATCTACTCACACTACTCTCACACTGAAGTGCTCATAGCAACATTACTTATTATCTCTCTCTCTCTCTCTTTTTTTTGTTATATTTTAAAGAAGGATCTACAGGGCGTTCAAGGGTCCCACTACTGGATCGGACTCTAGTGATCCGCCTGTTTACAGCCTCTCAAGAGCTGGAATTATGGGCTTGTGCCATTATGCCTGGTCTCAGTCGCCATCTCAGCATGCTCTGGAGTTGAGGGATGGCACAGCAGGCCCCGAGATTGAACCCCAGCCCCTGTGCCTGCTTACAGGTCCTTTAATCTGCTGAGCTACTTGGCCAGCCCCCCCCTTTTTTTTAATTAATGTATCAGCTATTTAATTAGGTTCTTAGTAAGAAATTTAGAAAATTAATTTATGAGGCTAAATTCCATTTGTCAGAGCAAAAATGGATCACAGGTAGCCCTGGAACTGAGGAACAGCTTTGATCTTTTGCTAAAATCTGTGAGTTCACCACTTTCTGATCTACCTTGCACTGCTCTGAAATCTGGTATCTCTCTTTCTCAATGTCAAAGATCTCACTCTCCTGGTCTAGGTTTCCACAACTTCTTCTTGAAGTAAGCATGAGTGAGATGTTTGGGGATTTTCACTTTGCTGCTGGCAATTTTTGTAGAGGTGGTAATGACAAATTTCTGGTGTGTTCTTCATAAAGAAACATAATTAAGGCTTAGAGGCCCAGTCACAGGTAGCAAGCCACTGGCCAACTGCTTGAGAAAGACCACTCTCCTGCCTCTGTGATACCCGGTGAGGATGATCAAGATGGTGCCAGGAGTGATGCTAGCTCAAAGTTTCCTCACATTCTCACTGAAGGGTTTCTTGCCATGGCCCAACAGCTGTCAGGGCACATCTTCAGAAGGGTGGTATCTAGGTTTTTTCAAAGCTTAACTACCTGGGTACCTCCATTCTTGTCCCCACAGACTGGTTTTGTGATAGTAGCAACGATTTTCTCCTTTTTCTTCTCAGCCTTCGATTTAATAGCTGTGCACTTTGTCTTGTAGAGAGCCTTTCTGGGATACATAGCAGATCAAGAGTATCTACCAATTCCTCTAACCAGGACAGGATTTCAGCTGTAGTAAGGCTGCTCCTTCTTGGACTTTTTTTGCCTTTACCTTACCCTTTTTACCAGTGCCACTGCCAGTAGCCTTACTGGCTTCGGGTTTCTTCTCTTTAATGTCTGGAATGCGCGAGAATGGCACAGCAGAAGTGTACAGTGGGAGGCTGTTGCTCACCTCAGGGTAGTCAGGAGGCAGAGGCAAAGTGGGGAGCCAGGAACAAAGCCACACCCTTCTCTCCTTGTCCTCACCTCCAAAAACATATTCAGCTATATACCTTAGTATACTGTTGGATTTGTAAATAGCCATTGCAAATGACAGATAAAGATATAGTGAATAGCATAGCTCCCTAGTGCTTCCCCAGGACCCCAAAGAACTGACCCACATTAGGTGGCCACTTCCATGAAAATCTGTCAGCTGTGAACACCTGGCTTATCACCATTTCCACCATCAGATGGGGGTAAGGGATGTCATTAGTATTCAACAAGTGATGTAACTGCTGTTGGAAAAGGCAGCTGATTGCCATGATACCTTCTTGGGCTTTTGTGTTCCATTTTGTACTATGTCCTCAGATGTGTAGCAGACCTGCGTATCTACACACAACAGTGTTTTGTAGATGTAGTGGATTTACTGTGTACACCTCCTTATTTTCACTGAAAAAGTGTATCACGAATATTTTCCATGTAAATATTTTTACACAGTCATCTTTTAGTTGGCTGCAATAATATTCAATTCCATTAATCAGTTTCTAGTCATTGATTATAAACTTTGTTTCAGTAACAAACAATATTGCCATATAGCCTACAAGGATGTTTTTGTCCTTCTACACATGATTATTTTATCCTAAATTCCAGCTAGCCAAAGGATATACACTTTTTAAAAATTGTAGGAAGAAATATACTAGGAATGCTACATGCTGGGAAGGTTGTATCTGAAATTTCCGGGTGTTTTTTATGCCTTTGCTCACAAAGGTATTAAATAAAATGTTTACTACTAAGGAAAACATACTGTTAATTAGCATGTCTGTGGATTTAATAATTTGACATTCCCTCCATATACATTTTTGCCCTTTTTATTTTACAAAGACCATTATGTCATTCTATAATTAGTATTTACTCATTGTTTCCTAGATACCAGGCATTGGTGTTGGTGCTAGGCAAATGTTATTAAGTAAGGAAGTGAGGTTAACCCTTGAGAAGCTTGAATTTTAGTTGAGAGAGACATAGATATGGAAGCATGTAAATAAGATAATTAGGTGATATGACTTAAAATAAGGTTGAAAGTGACCAGGGAACACTTTGGCTAACAGTGTAGTCTGGAGAAGCCCCAGAGTGGGAGACATTTGGATTGAGATTTCAATAAAAACTGTCATTTCACAGTCTGGGGCGTGGTCCAGGCAGTGAAGACAAGTAATCTGAAATAAGAATGAGCACAAGAAATGCAAGGACAGAGGCCAGTGGGGCTGTGCCACTGTGAGCCAGTAAGGAATGCAAGT